CTTCTTTCAAGAAAATTACCATATAAGGAAATTTTCAAGAAATCAGTGGTGAACGGGTGAGAGTTTTTTTTTATATATATTTTTTTATATTTAAATCAATTATAAATAATATTATAAATTATTTAATCTATCATAAATAATATTATAATTTATTTAATCTATCATAAATAATATTATAAATTATTTAATCTATCATAAATAATATTATAAATTATTTAATCTATCATAAATAATATTATAAATTATTTAATCTATCATAAATAATATTATAATTTATTTGATCTATCATAAATAATATTATAATTTATTTGATCTATCATATTTTTTAAAGAATGTTTATAATTATTTTTTTATATTGACTGCATCGTAAGAAATTAATTAGAAAAATTGAATTAATGCAAAATTTTTTAATTATAAGTAATTCTAGTTTTGGCTTAGATTGTAATAGATGTATCAAAACTAATCAGAAAGACGTATTAGGGTCGAAAAGGTAAGAATTCGTGATCAAGATCTTCCTTCGGGCATTTTCTTGTTATTTAGCAATTCCCATTATTAATGTGTTACAAGCCGATTTGATCATTACCCTTATCTTAATTTACAATGCGATTGATCGAAATGATTTTGAATCCACGTTTCAAAATTATAACATCTGCATTTTTACGTTGATGGTCATCGTCCCACGTTACACGAATACGTTCGCCTGTTTCCTAAACAGGACATAGAAAATTGAAGCGCATTAAATTAAATGCATGCAGCGTTCCAGGACATCAAGTAAAATTTATATAATCGCTGCCATTGTTAATGCTTAAACATATTTTACTGTATTATCGTAAATTTTAATAAAAACAAACCAACGCCCGTTGAATTTTTTTTTAATAAACAAGTCTAAAAAAAACCTTGAGCAAGAAAAACATTCTAATGGCCAAGATCACGGAAGGGAGTACAAAAAAGATACATATATATTGTTGTTTTTTTTTGTTTTTTTTTTTCGAAAGAACATCCAATAAAAACGCGAAGTATCCATCTAATTTTCTTATAATAAAATGTTGAATGCATGAGTCATACATCACCGGGGTAGATTATTGCTTCCAGATCTTTAATAACTACACGATCTATGTACGGGCTTAATAAAGCTTCTAATAATTGTTCAGTATATACAAGAAAACTCTCTTCATTTCCTTTTGCCAACACCTTAAGCATTTCCATAGCTCTTCTTGCCAACATAATGCAATCTTCATCATTGCTACTTCCAGGACGAATGCAGCCTAAATTCATCGATAATTTAAGTATTCGACTTATGAATCCTGGTGTAGAAACCATTTTTTTCCTCATTACTTCCCCACTTAATTGAGCAAAATTAAAATAGGCCATCACTAAAGTCGCAATGTAAGGTAAATCTTGTGCCAAAGAACGAGGAATCATTCCCCTAAAACCGCCTAATCCAATACCACCTTCTCCATGAGATAACATCGTCACTAATTTTTCGAAAACGGTTGTTAATGTAATTTCGTCACACCCACCAATTCGTAGTCTATTTTCGTATGATACAGATATCTTTGAAAAGACTTCCAAAGCCACTTGTGCATAATATTCATCCGAACAATCCAGAAAGTCGGCAATTACCATTAATAAATCCTTTGTGAGGTATATCGATGATAATGGGAGATAGGCTGCAATGTTCGATAAGATTATTAAAACACTCTTGCGTAATTCTAAAATATCATAGGCCCGTTTACGAACTCTCTTCGTTTGATTGTCACTGGTTTCTGGCGTTTTTTTCGTTTTTTCTTCATGGTAACTATCATCTTCTCCCATATATAGAATCCTCATGAGTACAGACAGTAATCTTGGATGTGTTGCCAGGTGTTCTTGGTTCTCGTAAATAAACGAAAAATTCCTTATTACATTGGTTATACACCAACATTGTTCGCATGAAGGTAAGCATTCTTCTGAGAAACTTGATGGTTCATATGCTGCCTCAGAAAATTCTTCACATTCTTGTTTAGAAATTTGGTATAATTGTCGATACGGTTTGAATTTTCTTCGGGATATAATGTTCTCATCTAAGTTCTCTTCGGTACATTCAGGTGAAACGTAATCTAAATATTCCAATATCATATCAAACAATATATCCAACAAATCTCCGCACAGTTTTAAATCTATTAAGGCATTGCGATAATAAGAGAGTGTGGTTAAAGTATTTAATGCGTTGGTAACTTCCAATTTCATGCCGCATTTTAAAGACATTTTGAGTGCGTGTATGTCAACGGCACCTATACGATAAATAAGATAAATAAAAATATAATCCAAATTTTTAATATATTTGCAAATGTTTTTTAATTCCGAGTAGACATTTCATTTAAACCTTACCTAAGTCCTGAATACCAGGTAAGTGTAATGGTAATGAAAATTTCTCAAAGACCTTCAAATCGAGCCCTCCATGACTTTCGACGCGACGTATCTTTGGAGAGTAATTGACCTTTGGAGGCTTAGGAACGGCATTTTTTGTTGGCACCGCTGGATTAGGTGATTGTGAAGATGTCACCGGGGGTGGCGCGGTGACAGGTGACTTCTCAGATTGTCGGGAAACTTGGCGTGAATTACCTATTCTACGTCCAGCTATCCCTGTGTTTACGGGCAAACGCAAATTCTGTGCCAAATTGTTGGAAATGCTCGAATTTTCTACATGATTTTCGGTCTTTGGTTTATCATTTTGAAAAGAGTTAAATGTTTGTTTGTTTTGTTGTTGCGATTGCTGAGGAAAATTTGTAGGATTAGAAGAATTGGTAAGATCATCATCATCTTTGGCGCTAATTGTTGATGTGGAACTCGTTATTTGGACATTAGAAGTATACAAGTTCTGGTTTTCCATTATATTCGTGATGGGTGTATTTTCGGTTTGATTTTCTTGTGCTTGCGGTGGTGTTCGTTGCATTGATTCTATATGCCCCATTAACGTATTAGATTTAATTGACGCTACTGTAGAAGAATCTACAGTTGTTTGTGGTGATTGTTTGTATGAGTCAATCACTGCATTTTGAATGCTAGATGTCGAGGATAATTCAGTAGATATTGACGACTGTGCAGACGGCTGAGGATAACTTCCAATAATCGAATTCGAACCAGTATGATCTTTTGTTGCGATCTTATTATATTGTCCAATTTGAGTCGCCGTCTGTTGTTGGTTGAGGTTAATAGATTGGCTCTGATTGTACAATACCGACTGGGAACTTGAGTCGGCTACCATATTTGATGAGATGATAGAATCTGGCGATCTAGGAAGCATTCCCATTGAATTGTATTGAATGCTTTTTGGTGATAAATTTTGTGAAATACCACTTGATGTTACGGTACCAGGAGTAATAGTAGAAAAGTTGAAACTAGAATCATCCCTGTGTTGTTGTTGCTGTGTTGGTTGTTGTTGATGATGAAGCTGTTGTTGCTGTATCTGCGTTGGTATATGTTGCTGAGGTTGTGAGGTTGATTGTTGTGATTGTTCAGAAATTGTTTGTTGTGGTGGTTGGTCATCGTTTTGTTGCTGCGGCGGCGGCGGCGACCGCTGAATGTTATTATTAATTGTCGGATATGACTTTGATGAATTTTGAGATGGATAGTGCAAATTACCTTGCAACGAATTGGAATTCCAGTTATGCATGTTGCCTCCAATGCTACTAGAAGCTTCATTCGAACAATTGAAATCATATACTATATCATCATCATCACCTAACTCTAACCAATCAACTTGACTGTCATCTTGTTGGATTGAATTTTGCATCGCTTGATTTTGTTGGGAATGCGGAGATTGAGGTTGATTTAAAAGATTATTAAAATTATTTGCTATGGCATTGGCCTTTGTTGGTGTCTGTTGTTGAAATTGTCCATAATACTTATTTATATTTTGAATTGGCGTTGCATATGTATTAGCCTGCATCGATATTGAATTTTTTCCGTCTATATTTTGAATATCGGTATTTACAAATGACTGTGTAGGTGCTGTTGACCTCCCAGCACTCATCATTTGTTGGCTAGGGAAGCCCCCAGTAGTCGCATAAAGCTGATTCTGGCCAGGGGTTTGTGTAATATTTGAAAACACATTTTGCATTGGCGGGTTGGGTGCAAGGGCCACTCGTTTCGCTGCGGGCATACCGTTAGTTGTCATAGATGTCATGGAGGCAACAGGTACAGGGTATACCGGGCGACCAGAAATGGGCATCATGGGATTGATGCCGTTACTGGATTGCAAGTATCCTGCGTTATTTGTCATGTTAGCTGACAGGTACTGTTGAGGATACGCACCAACACCCATGACATTAGTTGATCCCGCTTGAGGGTTTCCAGTGAATGGATAAGAAACACGGTTCTGTTGCTGGCGTTGTTGGTATAAGCTTGGATCCATTGATCAAATGATATTTTTTTCTGGCGACAATATTTGATAGTTTTTCCCCTGTATCAAGTATTATTATAGCTTCTGTAGTACAATGTATGTGCCGGTACTACATGACGATGTATGACATGTACCAGATTAAAGTTTACTGCATATATATCACAGGTATTGGTTGTTTGATGGTTAAAAATTATTTGTCACTATTATGTGATGCAATTTTGAAATCGCTTTTTTTTTAATTTATTAAATATACAAAAATAGAAATGATAAAATCTTTTTTACTGTATTAGAAAAACGTTAAAGAATAAAATAAAAATATATTGACTATCTGTATGTATGTTCTATTAGATATTATAAAATAAATTTATATGCTATAATGTTTTTTTATTTAATTTTTATTTTAATATATATTAAAAGCATCTTACTTAACATTTAAAAAAAATAATAAATTTATATTAAAAACAATATAAATATAAAATATTTATAAATAAAAAAAATTTTTTTAATTAGTTAATTTTTTTTTAAATCAAATAATTAAATTTTAAATAATTAAAATTTAATAAATAGAAAATAAAAGAAAGTTATATATTATAAAAATTATCTTGAAATTTAAATACTTTATATATAAATATAATAAATATATTGTATTATTATTATTTGAAAATAGTAATTTTAATAATTTAATTAAAAATAAAAAAAATTTTTTTTAAATAAATTATATATACAGTATATTATAAAAATCATTGTATAATATATTAATTTTTATTTTTGTGATATTTTAATAACTATCTAATAAAATAAGATAAAAATTTATATTAATATAGTCAAGAATATAAAAAATAAGTTTACTTAATAAAGTTTTTAAAAATATTGATTTTAGTTACATTATAAAATAAAAATAATAAAAATTATTAAAATTATTTTAATATATAGATTTGTTAAATAAAAGTCATAATAATAATAATATAATTGAACAGGAGCACATCCTATATAGCCTAAAAGTCATTATCAAATCCAACAAGGATATCAAAAAATTGTACAATAACAATTATAACAATATAATTATATTTAGAATCAAACTACTCTTAGATATTCTATCTATTTATAAAACTCTTTACTAGCTATATTCTGATCAGTACCCAGGTACTTGATATCCAAGATATAAATTTTATACTGAGGATATTCATTATATCTTTAAATATCCTGAGGCCTCTATTAAAGCTAATCAAATAATTAAAAATATCAACCAAATTTTCTATTCAAACAGAACAGTAATCAAATACCAATTTCATATATATGACAAGTAGTCAAACTATCCTATAACTTCATTAATAAAATCTTTTCCATATTAGACTTTTCCAACTGGATTGAAATAGTTAATAAAGCTATAACTAAGGATGGGTCTCTAAATTATTTAGTATATAAAATTTTGCAGATCAATTATGTTCTTTTTGAAGGAACATAATTATCTATTCATTATTTTAATAGGAACATAATTTAAAAAACACTTGAATCAAGTGACCTAAATTGCAAAAAACCTTTGTATGTGGTTTTTTTTTGACTTTATATTTTAAAAAAAACTTTTTTAATAGTAAAGAACATTTGAATTATATCCTTGCCTTTAATTTAGGAACCTATCTTTAGCTATAACTATATATGTTGCTGAAATTCATAGATTCTTGATGCAATTGACACAATTATTTGATATAATTAATTGAATCATTATTAAAATATATAAATAATTAAGTCATAATACAATTATTTTTGAGGGTTTTGGAAATTAAATCAATAGCAAATAATTTATATCACATGTATAGCTATAACCCATTTATATAATCTTATCTGGAAACTATACTACTCTATAGTCAACACGTCACCATTTACTGGAATCAAATGGAACTTTAACAAGCCTTCCACTTTACCTTATTTTTTTAAACCAATTAACAATTACAACTCTCAAACTGAAATCTAATCAATTATTACTTTTATTAAAGAAATTATAATTAATTTATTTAGTATAGTTATTAATATATTTATTCAATATAAATATAATTATTTCAAATATATTTAAAAATTAATATTACTATTATCCAACATCTCTTCTTTTAATACTAAGTAGGTATTTATAATTGTTCAGTATTATTTGACAAGATATATTATTTTAAATTTTCTTTTCAATATTAGTCAAATGGTTACTATAGGCAAACTAACATTTAATTCATTGTACTTATATATGAGAGATGATGTTTTTTTTATAATATATACTTGACATATACAAACCAAATAAAGAAATGATATTTATCTACAATAATAATAATAATAATAATATGATTTTTATTATTTTTTTATTAAGTACAAAAAATTATTTAATAATTAATTAACTTAAAATTTAATAAATTTTAATTAAAAAATATAAACTTTATATTAAATTTAAAGTTTTTAAAGATTTAAAGATTTTTTAAAATTAATTTTATAAAATAAAAAAATAAAATAATTTTAAAAACATTAATTAAATATAATAATAAATATTTTAGAAAATTTTTATAAACTTAAAATTTATTTTTATTTTTATATTTAATTTTTTTAAAAAATTTTCTATAATAAAATTTTAGTTTTTGTCTATAATTTATATATAAATTTATATATATAATTTTATAATAGTTTTTTTAAAAAATTTTTTTAACTTTAAATTAATATTTTTAAATAAATTTATTTATTTTTTTTTTTAAGTAAATAAAACATTATCTCTTTATCTTCGTAAAAATTTTAACTTATTTTATATGTAGAAAGTAATAACATCTCACACATAACCAATTGATTAGTAAGTCTAATGCTAGCTTGCCTATAAAAACTATCTAAGCAATATGAAAAATAAATATTAAAACCAATATACATCTTAAATAGTATCGAGCAGCTATGAATACCTACTCAGGTTTATATGTGAGACTATAAGAAATTGAAAATTGAAAAAAAAAGAAAATATTAAACAAAAACAAAAAATAAGTATAACAACTAGGGATCGCAATGATTTAGTTTGAATTGGTTTTAACCAAAACCAAAACTGATCTGATTTATTTTTTTTAAACCGACCGATCCGAAAACCGATCAGTTTTAATTTTTTGTAAACTGATCTGATCCAAAAACTGATCAGTTTTAATTTTTTGTAAACTGATCTGAACTGAAACCAATCAATTTATATAAATTTAATTTTATTAAATTGCTTTATTTCAATAAATATAGCTAAAAACTGTTTAATTTAATTTTTTTAAATTTATATTTAC